GTGTGGATATGTAAAGAGATTTCTCACATTGATCATTTGTGTAGGCTTGTAATAAGGCTTAGGTCTGCATGTATAATTCACGTGCTTGATCAGTTACTGCCTTTGGGTAACTACCTGCTGTTAGACGGTACTTACGAACTATTTTCGTCTATGAGCTCCTCTTGTGTAACTGCAGTAGATAAATGCCTACAATGTTTCTCTCACGCTTTAAGTAAAACTTAAAGTTCAGAACGCTTCTAAGAGTGATGAGTTAAAAATGGGATGTTTAATTTAGACTGGGCTTTAGTCCATATTATTCTTTGTCCATTATTTATAAGAGGTTTTATGCTTTACTGTTCTCTTGCGTATTCACCAACTTGCCAAGAGCTCTGTGTTTAAGGTCACCATTTCTTTCTTCTAACCACGTGTTGAACTACTGAAGTTTAAAAAAAAAAAAAAAAAAAGTGCGATGCTCCTGTTCTTCATTTTTACCTAAACTTATCTTTATCTTTTGTTGTGCTTGAAATTCTTTGCCTGACCTTCCCCCTCCCCCCAAATATATCAATTTTCACAACTTCCTTGTACAACTAACTTGAAGAAAAGAAGAAAATGGATTGATACTTATAGATGCAAAGGTTATTTCAGAATTACAAGATATTAAAATAGTGTGCTTTGCCTGAAGTACTAATTAATCTAATCCTAATGTATGCTTTCACATTGTTTATCTTTGAGGATAGAGAGTTCAATAATTTTCCAAGTTTAAAATCGGTCTCATTTCTTTGACTTCTATATAGAAGTGGGAGGCAAAGATCTTTTACTTAAGAAAAAAAAAAAGTTTATTCTCTTTTTGTCTAGCTTCCCCACTGGGCTTTGAAAATACTGGAGGTGTTGGCATCTTAAGGTATATTTTTACTTTTAGCTGTGAGACATACAACATGTGTGGTTAGTACATACAGAGTTAATGAAGAGTAAACACTAACTAGGTTTGTCCTTGTATTTGCTTTGCTGTAAAAACAGCCTCCGGATTTACCAAAGACCCGAATTTTTCCTTGTATCTCAATATGCAATTTACAAGACCAAGTCAAGGTTGGACATGGGCTCCATTTGGGAGCTACAATTACAGTGTCGATAGCTGCCGGTTAGATTTATTGACGGATTCTTTTTTCTTTTAGACCGTTTCATATACCTAATGCTGTATGACATGTGGGACTCCAGAAAGGCTTGTGACACCGATGAGGGGGAGCCAGTCAGGTGGGATGTTTACTTTTCCAAAGATAACACATGCCGGGAACTGGGGGGAACGAGCCTGTGGCAGATCTGAGACTCTCCTTTCTGTACAGGCCAGATAGGGGAAGCAACAAGTCTAGATATCCTCCATGAAGATGTTTCTGACTTAAAAGCGTCTCCAAAATACCCTGTCCTATACTCTGAGAAAACAGAGCTGTTGGTATGGGATTCTCTCTAGCTACTTGCTCTTCATGTTTTTAGCCTCTTTGTACATAACCTAAGTTGGCTAGAGTACGACTAACACAATAAACGTAAGGTAAATTTATTCAGGGTAGAGTAAAAAAAGACTAGTGTAGGAAGGTCCTCCGGTACTTGCCAGAGCGGACAGTGTTACTGTGCTTATAATGTGTTCTTACCTACTTACTCTAGATGGACTGAGGTACGCCTACCCCTCCTGCACTCCTACCTCCAGTGGCCCAGCTGTGGGAAAAGGAGAGGATTTCTGGTTTCTTCCTTGGAGAATGCCTTAACCCCAAGGTTATTACGGAGCAGGCAAGTATTGTCACCACTTCTTCCCTCTGCACACCTTTAAAAGAGGCACGTGAATGCTGTTCTTCCTTTGCAAGCAAGGTTGTAGTAATGTGTTCAGAAAGCTTTCCATGCTGCTCTGTGTGGGCACAAAGTTGCAACCCCACGTGATGCTTGTGAGCTTAGTATCCTGGGCTTGCAGGGGAGGGAGGAGGAGGATTTAAGACAGCGTTGCCTGTAGTGTTTGTTATAGGTCCCTTGTGGCTGTCTCCCTCTTACCGTTTAAATTCTCCTGCGTTGCAATAGTGAACAGCACCTTACTGAAGCTTAGAGGCCATCTGACTAAAAGTTACAGGCTAAAATACTCAAGTTCTTTATTATGCTTGGATCTGAAGAGTTCCTGTGGAAATCCTTGCCCTCTCCTCTGTCAACGTGTATATGATGTCATATGCTACTTCTGGAACCGTGTCTTTGCATTAACAGCAGGCAAATGAAACCCCATGCATGGCACGTTAACAAATGTTGGAGTCTGTGTAATGCAGGGATGACCCTAAATTACTGCTCACGCTCTAATAGGTTCTTGGTTGTGATTATTTACACACAGTTACTATAGTCTGTTGCTGTAGTGTGTTCTGCACCAATTCCTTTAGCAGGAGGTCAGGCTAGGCTAGACCAGACTGAACTATGTTTACAACTAGGTTATAATTTTCAGAGTCTAACATGGTTTGACTATAAGCCTGCAAAGAAAAATTAACTCTTTATGACAATCTGAGGAAATCATTGTGAGAGAGTCCCTGGTAACAGTCTTTCTGATGTAGATAAGTTTTGCGTTAACTGGGTAAGGGTGCGTGTTAATGTAAACACAAACTCCTAAAAGTTAATATTAAATCAATTTTACAATATTTTTGAAATCCTTTAAGTAAGGAAATTGGTACTCATGTTTAGTTGCATCACTTCTCTTAGGATCCGTTTTATTTGCATCTTTGTCTTTCATCAAGTCCTTGGCAGTAACTAGTGATTAAATAGGGCAGTCATCCCCATATTTTAAACCCTAAGTTGTTGACAGGACCAAAACCAAATTGTAACAAATATCCGTTTTTACCTTAAGATTTGCAACTAATGACTTCTTGTTTGTATTGTTTTGCTTGAGTTTTTATGCAATTTTCTCTTCTTGTTTTGTATCTGGAGAATTATAAATGACTTTCATGAGCAGGCATGTGGCGTTTCATATTCTTAAGCAATTGTTACTCTTTTTACACAGATATAAGGAATTTTGCCTAAAATTGTCAATAACTGGTATTTCAGCAAGCATTTTGATACATTTTTTTAAAATAGGTTTATAGTTGAGCTCAAAATCCTACATGAATAATGCTATTTTTTTCATATGTTCTCTGTTCTGAAAGGTGTTTTCCCCCACTTTGAAAAAAATGTGTGTGGATTCCACTAGAAGATAAGATATCCGCTGTCACAGAAAAACATTCTTCTCAAGATGTTTTTCAGTCGCTGCATTAAACTTATCAACATCCATCATGTTTTTGGGCACTTCTATTCCTAACATGAAGAACTCTTATTATTTCATAGCCCTTTCCAACAAACTAATACCTTTATTTGTTTAGTGAAATGTCAAATGTAATATCCTATTTGGATGGGAATGCAGGATATTTTGTCATAGTTTCCTGTGCAAAATGGCATTCACTTTCTGAAGTTGAGCCAGTGGAGTCAGAGAGCTAAGAAGGTTTTAAAAGACCTTTGGTAGACTTCAAACTAACGTGCACCCCAGAGCTATAGTCTAATTTGAAATAAAATTGAGCCATGAGGGCATGAGATAAGGATGTCACGGCTGAAACGGAGATTCTTGCTCCCGTAATCCTTACTGCGTCTGCTGAAAAGCCGTTCATGAGAACATTTGATTTTTTAATTTCATTTCAGCAGAATAATTTGATCTTGGTCATGAATCTATACACTAGTTTGATTTAGGAGTCTCACTTAGTCCCAATCTGAAAATAAGATTCCAAAATATATATTTTTAAGTCTAATTCGAATAGATGCATTGCAAAGGAGCCCATGGGCTCTAGCTGGCCGGGCAGTGCTAGCTTACTGCCACTGAAATCAGCGACACTAAATCAGTTTACAGCAGCTCTAGTCCCCGTTTGTTTATGTAACTGCTGGAACAGAATCCAGTGAAGTTTACGAAGGCAAAATACTATAGTATCTGTGTTTTGATCCTCTGTGTCATTTTACATCAACAAATTCAGATAGAAGAGGAGGAGGAGCAGTTCCAACATGTGCATGGTCATTCCATATCCCCACCTGTATTTTCAGCTGAGAGTGATTTTTAACCAGTTATTATTGTGCCTACAAATCAATGTTAGTTTGTCAAAGTTATGCTTCAGGCATATCGACATGATAACAGCAATTGTGAAGAGACGCTTTCTTTTCTGATTCTCGTCTTAATTCTGATTTTAAGAAAATCCTGGAAGTTAAAGCTCAGTCTTTTTACTATCCTATAGAGATGGGAGAAAGAAGGGACACCTAAACAAAAAGAAAAGGGACCTCTTGCCTGTGCTTCTCATCGCAGCCTTTGTCTAAAAATCTGAAGCTACTATTTAGGGTATTGCCCAGTTATCCTGCTTCCAAGGGATGCTCAGGGTTGACAGGGCAAACAGTTTTAGTTCCCCAGGAACCTACGCTGTATCTGATTTTAAAATTGGCTTCATTCAGTTACTGGGAATCTCATCTCTCTATACAGTAAACAGTAGGTACAGAAACTGTATGCTTATCTTTATTAGGCATACCTTAGGCACAATGTGCCTAATTCCTGCTCTGGCATTTTTATGATATGCTCTGAGGCATAAAATGCCAGAGGGATAATATCTGAAGTTTTATTAGCTCATTCTGTTAACAGCTTGATTGCTACCTCTCTCTCTCTCTCTCTCTCTCTCTCTCTCTCTCTCTCTCAAGTCCTAGTAAGACAGAATTTCAACAGCCATCACAATGTCCTACTCTTGCACTTCTAACAAGTCATTGGCGTAGACAGAGGAAACTCTGCATCTAATTCCAAAATGTACAGACTGTGCATTTGTAGCCTGCCCTTTCAGAGCTGTCCGTAATACAACATGGCTTTATCACTTCCTTGTTTTAAAAGGAAGTGGCTTGTGTTGGCTATCTTGCATGTGACTGACTGCACTGTGACCTGAAGCAAATGTTTTGCTTGTCTTTCATAATACAAGCTGTCTTGTGGGAGAAAGCAAACCTGAGCAAAGGGAGAAAATGCATCTCTCTTAGACAAGTAATTGTTCCCTATTTTTATCAGGGTCCAGTCTTTTTCCTACAGTCAGAAGGATTTTAACCAGTGTGAAGAGGACAAATAATAGCCTGCAGAGACTCTGATGCAGAAGCATTACTTGTGAAGTAGGTATCAGAAATTTTGTCCAAAATTCACTCTATGGGATTTCACAGAGCTGAGTAAACTGGGTGAAGTCAGCTCCTGAAAAATGGGTAGAGCATCAGTTTATGCACGAGGGCGGGAAGCGTTTTTATGGATTATGCCCTTTGGCTTTCAGACGGCTGCAGTATCCCACCCAGGGCCTCTTTAGCAAACATAAGTGCTGCTGTTGCAGAGGTGGTGTGCCAGCTGCTCAGCAGCAAACCAGGTGGGCGTGAGCCCTTGTGCAAATAGTAACAGGGACTATGCAGATTCTATAGGGGATGAAGTTAACGTGCAATATCTTGTCTTGGGCGTCCATTTCTGGCTTTCTGCTGTTGCATTGCACGTAGTCGTCCTTCAAATACAGGACTTCCAGTTCGGCCGAGGGGAGTGGGGGGTCCCCATTGCCCCATCAGAGAGCAGGAAGGGTAAGCAATATCTCGGTTTTCTTGGATAGTCTTGGCAGCTTTTCAGTGCTGTTTCTGACACAGCTCGGATGTGCCGCATTATGTGCGTCTCTGCTTTTATCCTGAGGCTTCTCTCAGGAAATAGCTTAGCTAATTTTAGAAGCACAAACAGTTGAAAGAGGCCCATTGCAAATGTGACTAGAGTATCTCCTGTCTAATCAGTTATGAAATCTGATTGATGCTAAAGCTTTTTCTTAGTGGAATGTTTCTCTGTTAATTGGGCAGAGGAGAAAAACGCAACACAGATCTTTTACCATGCAGACGTAAATGAACAGAAGCTCTTTAAAAGTCGACTTGTGGGAAATGAAAGAGTTTGATGCAATACATCACGGGCACGAAAAGGCCAGATGACAGCTTTCCGAGTACAATTTGGCCTGAAGTCAGATAGGAGAGAGGAAAAAAAAAAAAAAAAAAAAAAGGGTCTATGACACTTTTTGCCCAGCATGACCTAAGGAAAAATACTGGCTATTGCACATTTTGCACTTGTGCTTAGCTCTTGCATGCAGTCTCTGGCATATCATGTTCTGTAGTGATTAAAATACAACTTGTAGTGACAGCAGGAACCCAAATGCCCTTCTGAACTGTGTGCAAAGTGTAACAATTGTTCCTTCACATCAGGTCACGTTTCAGTGTATGTTTTGGCAACTGCTTTTTATTGCAATTGATTCTTGTATTGTGGCCTTGAATGAAAGCATGGAAAACACAAAAATCTTATAGCAATATTCCTGTTTATAAGGGACACGTAACTGGCTGTCTAGTCTATGAACCATGTATGGATTCATGTATGGGAGGCAGAGCAGACAAAAATGAAATAATAAATATCAGATAAAAGTGAGCTCTTCCATTTAAAACCTTCTATCTAAAACCTTTTGTTGCTTTTTTTCGATTGTATTGCAGAATGAACAGTTGCAAGAGAATAACTGCTTTCACTTGCTTTTTGCACCACAAGCAGAACTAGCAATGGTATGTCTGTAGCAGAACCAAAGCAGCTCCTGGGTGCTCCTCTCTGTCCAGGCTGCCTTCAAGAGCCTGGGTGATGAAGACAGCGTTAAAGAGGGCATACAAGCTTATTCGCTTGTGTGCCATTATCTCCCTTATCCTTTCTTGGTATCTGCTCCTGAACAGATGCTCTACCATGTTGCAGGTAGAGCATCTACCCCCCCCACTCCGTTCTTTGCCTGAGCTTTGGATTTAGCCTTAGCTGAGTCTTACGTAACTTTAGTAAACTTGAAAGTGTTACTCGAACTGCAGGCATGAGAAACAGACCTAAACAGAGAAGGTTTGAAACTGAAAGGTTTGAATCTAGCTTTAAACACTCACAGATTTCTGGCTTGTTTTTTGTTCCACCTGACTGTGCTTCAAATTTGCTTCTAAATGTCATCTTTGAGAAGACTTTCTTTTTTTTCTTTATAGTCTGGGCCAGAATGAGCACTCATGAGAGATTTCTTGTGCGAGTGAAGGCCTCAGAGCCCAAGTAACGAAGGCAGGAACAGTTGTGTCACTACAGCTTGTTATGACTCCCTGCCATAGTGTGGTTTTACCGAGTTCTTGCCACAAACTTTAGTGGATCAGTCAGTGCAGAATACTTTTGACAAATCCTACCCACCGTGTATTTTCAGAACCGTAGATCCGGTTTGAGAATATGCGTTAAGACCCAGCATGAAGCACAGAAGTGAGTCCACTGAGTCAAGGAAACTATTCAATTATTCATGCTCTTAAAATTATTTTTGTGCTCAAGTCACTGCTGAGCCAATAGCAGTCAGATATTTTGACCTTTGTAAACTTGTGTGTGTGAAAGCTATTTTTTGGAGAGATGCAAAGAATTATATGAGTTGGGATCCTTCTTTTGAGCCACATATCTTCCCAAGATACAATGTGTGGCCCTAATGCAAAGAAACTGTAAATGGTACAATTTATCCAAAGTATTATTCTCTTGCTGTGCCTAAACTTCAGAGGAAAAACAGTTTCTTAATAGTTTGTATGATATAGTGAATAATAATGTTTGTATTTTATATTGAGAAAAGAATAGCATCTCATGAGTCATGCTCACACTGTGGGGTCTGTGTACAAAGCTTGCAAGGCCTTATGTGTTCCTGCAAGAGCGCTGAAGCTTTGAGGTTCAACAGTCTTGCTTCTTCCAACAAGAAATCAAAGACAGATTCTTGCGGTACTTTGACAGGAAGAGCTAAGCCTGCTTCAAGAAACACCTCTTCCTATCAGATCTGAACAGAGGAAGGGAACTATATATAGCTAGGAAATATAACACGAAGCCTCATTAAGGATCAGACTAAGATAAACCTTTGTCCAGAAATCTCTTGGATTTTCTTGGTGTTATCAGCTGGTATGTTGGGGATAACGTGTTTATTGAATGTTTTAATGTGTGACTGCTGTTTTTTTTCAAGTTTATTGCTTGTCATCTGTTTTAAGCAGGCTTCAGGTCACTTTGGCCAGGATTTATTACAAGTGGGACAAATCCTGTTCCATTATATCGCTGTAATCCTGCTGAAGCCAATAGCAATAAAGAGAAGAACTTGGCCTTGGTTATTGTAGCATAAAACTCGATGAGCCAAACAGCAAGCCAAGCTGTCTCTTTACCAATTTCATCAAGAGTTTGATGTTTTTTTCTAATATGAGAATTACTGAATGCAGAAATTCCAGCTAGAGTATATCTCAGTTTCAAATAAACTATTTTTGCTGTAAAAAAGAGGGGAGGGGGGGAGAGACAGCACTTTACCGCATGTGCATTTCTTTGCCTTTGTAAGTACTTTCCTCAAATCAGTACCTGTCTGAATGTGAGTAACTCGAAACAGCACTTGATCCTTCCAGCGCTGCATGCGTTTTATTGCCCCATAAAAGTATCAAAAGACGTGAAGTTCAGTGGAAAGATCTAGATGTTTAATCAGGTCTTGCTTAGCTTGAAGGTTAATGGCAGTAACATTCATCCTGTCTGAACAACAGCTGAAATAATAAACTGCACTTCATGATTTGACATTGCTGGTCTTACCTTCCAGGCCTCGCTGACAGGGAAGAGAACAGGAATGATGGGAGCTGCCAGGACGACGGGAGTGCTGAAAGTTGCTGCGAGTGACTGAGTGAGGGTTTTTTTGAAGGAATTCACTGTGAGTTCAAATATTTCAGCCAGAAACAAATTTTGCAATGCATTTGAGGAAAGTGTACGGGACAGTGATTCACACTGAATGGTCTTCTGACTGACAAAATCTAATCATAACATTTTTAAATAGACCTCAAATACATATGTGAATCCTTTGGGCTTATGTCCATAAGTGAATGTATCTGACCTCGTAATGCATTTTTGTGAACAGTTACATCTATGAATTCTGCATGTACAGAGACTGTGTTCAGTCAGACACTGAACATACTGTTCAGACAGTCTGAAGTGTTTTGCCTGAACGCAGAAGGCTAAAATGAAACTCTCAATGTAATGTTTCTTCTGCATTTAGAGAGATTCCAAAGCCTAGGTTGGCTGATTTACCTTCTACTTGGGAACAAAAGTCTCTTCTCAGCACTATGCTTCAATTTTTCTACTTTCCTAACACTTAGTAGTCTCTCATTCTTTTCAATTTTGAGCCTAGAAAGAAGAATGCCGTATTATCTAGGGGAACTGAAAAATTGTCTTTGCATCAGATTTTTCTAGGGGGTCACAGAAGTATTGTAAAAGAAGTAATTGATCCTATATGATACATTAGGGAGGAAAAGGGAAGAGTTCTAGATTGGGGCACTGATGTTCGGGGATCGGGTTACCAGTCTTTCAGTGATCACCAAAATGTGGTAAATGCTATGTGAGAATGGATTGCTGCAAATGATAGTAACTCTGCAGCTTTGCAGATTACAAATTATACAGTATTCCAAGGACACTCTGATTTATGTGAAAATGTGATTTTTATAAATCCTGCCCTTGGGTTGAGGTAAGAAATATTGGCATCTGTTCAAATATTTACATTTGCCTACTAAGTTATAATATTGCACTAGGTTATATAGGTAACATGTTAGGGCAGGTACAGGCTGCAGTTGTATGCAAACAGCAGTCAACCCGTAGTATTTTGCCATCGCCCTCCTATTCAGAGAAGGAGATGACCGCGTGCAAAGAGCAGGCTCTTGCACCCGTCCACCTCTGTGGATCTAATGGGAGAATTTGGAGTGCTTTTTGCAGGACTTTCATGTTCGTTCTTTCTGTGCACATGGTTTTGCTGCACCTACCTGGTGAAAGTCAAACTGTAGGAAAGTATTTGCCTGCGTTTCACTGAAATTTAGGATTTTTATTTTGTTTGTTCTACCAATTCAATAAAAGAGCAAGATAGTCAAGGCTGGCTCTCTTAGATGCCTAACTTACTTACTTGCAGAGTAAGTGACTCTGCTTCCTCAGTATCTCACAAAGCACAAAAATATTGTTGTTATACATAGGTGGTTTTCAGTATGTCACAGGATAGCAACAGCATGTCCATGCAAGTGATCATGATTTTCCACCATCAAGAAATCAAAGGCTTTTTATTGTTGTGGGAGAGAGGCTACTAGCAGCAACTAAAAATACTGACAGAACAATTAAGCAAAGGTTAAGTTTGTTTATCTTTCACAGGCATTCCTCCAAACCAAACCGCTTCAGGTTCAGCCTGAGAAAACAGGTTGGAGTAGTTGAAAGCAGACACAAAAATGCTACTTAAGGACAAGATGAGGTAATGAGCACAGTAAGTCAGCTGTCTGTATCCGTCCTTCCCTACGGGTCCATCTCGGCCCTCGGTGATGACTTTGGGAACCACTGCAAAAATTCAGACTAACCTCAGCGGGAGACCAATGTAAATACTAACATGCCTGGAGTAACACAAACCCCAATTTTAATTCCCTGTGGATCAGCTCCCACTGTATGTTCCCTGGCTAATGTCCCAGTGTATCCAATGCAAAATTAGCTTCAATATGAATAATTCAGAGGAGAAACCTGGCACTCGTGATTATACCCATGATCTTTGAGTCTAGGACTCCATTCTCAACCCCATAACTGATTTTCTGTGAGGCAGCTTACTGCAACCCTCTGCGCCCTGCTTCCTCAGGGTAAGATGAAGCTGCTGTATCCCTCCCATCCCGCTTCTCTGAAGAGCGTATGATTAGCGTGAGGAAAACTTTCGGGGACAGCCCTGACACTGCGAACAAGTGCTCCCCGCAGCTTTTGAACACGTTTATGGTATTAAGGTGCTGGAATTGGGTAGAAAATTCCCCAAAGTGGTAGCGTAGGCCCATCAGAGCACCTGCGCATGGCCACGTGGAAGTGGCAGGATGGCCGAGCCCATAGGTCACAGGATCATGTTTCTTTTCCCTGGGCTGATTACTTGGGGCAGTCCTATATGTGTCATTTAAGGTCACCTTAAGACCAGCGCGGTTATCACTAGAAAGTGAGTAACAACTTACATGAGACATGCATGCTCAAAAATGAGTGAAAAGTGTGGCAACCATGCAGCCTTTTTCGGTTGTGGAGCCCTGTGCCTAACTACCCTACTGTTTATTCAAATCATTTTTTTTCCTCTTTGTCCTAATTTTTTCCATTAGTTTCCTCGTTTCTCACTTTGATCTTGAAAGATCTCCACTTTTTTCCTTTCCCCTGGTTTCCCATGTTCATCTTTGATATTTCTCAGCAGCTGAAGCTCAGGTTGTGCTCTCAGCAGTTACCTTCCATAGAGTCACTCAACATCATGCCTGGCACAAAGTTTGAATCAGATCCATTTTGTGGGGGATAGAAAACCTTGAGCAGAAGCTCATTTTGTTGCAAGGGTAACTCGTGTTTAGAGCTATCAGTTTGTTTCAGTAATTTCATACCTTAAGCCTTCTTTGATTAATTTAATGTGCTCTCTCAGACACTGCCTTGTCCCTTAGCTTTAGCTATGTGAATAATTGGTTTTAAAAAACATGTATTTTTTGTTATACATTAATAGCTATCTTTTTCTGGATCTTAAAGGTCTGTCCAGATGAATTGGTGATACCTTTTCTTGGAGAACTCACAGACTGCTTTAAGCCTGTTATGCAAACTGATACTCCGAGTCATACCAGAAGTAATGTTCCCGTGTAATGTTAAAAGTCTAGGAATTGTACCGAGTGGCACCACTTTTGATATTTTTAAATGCAAATTTGATGTCTGTGCACCTACTACTGATCTCCCACTCTTCCAAATTCTGCTTTGTTAGGATAGTGGCTCTCCACAGCTTTGAAAACTTCTGGATTTTCAATCTTGCTACCAAAATTCTTCCAATAGCTTAAACTGGATAGATGTACCTCACACCTTTTAAGGTACCTAGGATAACACCACAGTCTTTATTCGCAATCAAGAGATGATTTGTGTCTAAATCATAAATCTCTTTCAACAAAGATGCATTATTTAAAGATTTAAAATTAGAGCATTAAGGATATAAAAGGAAAGCAAAACAGGTTTGTCCATGCTCCACTGTACCTGGAAAAATATGATCTTATGATAATGTCATGCTTATTAGCTCCTTCAAATATAATGGCTGCCTCCCTGCCACTGGCAGAAGCGATGGCAAAAGCTGGCGTGGTACCTTTTCCTTTCAATGCCTGCTAAGCTTACAGGAAATATTTATGGCATACAACAGGGTGCGGAGGCCTCGCTGAAAACTGAACAGGGATATAATCTTTCCTAATTCATTTTAATAATGATTCTTTGGGCCGGTTTTCCTCAGATTCAGCTCCACCAATTTGAACCACTGCTTTGCAGGATTTCCCAGTGGAAAACAAAATACTTCTAATAACTGTAGCTACTTATCATGCCTTGGATAGCTTGTGTGGCATACCAAAATCACTAGGTGTCAATTCACCTATTAGCAGAAACGGTTTGGACACCACGAGAGTGGGATGTTGACCTACCACCCAAAGCGCAGGGCCCATCTGTTCTGCAAAAGTATGACAAGTCCTGACTCGCCCCTTCTCTTTATTTCTCTGTGCCTCATATGAGCTTTTATGTCTAAAGATTCCTACAAAATGAGCTCAGTATCAATGCAGAAAAAGCCACGCTGAGGCCAGCAGTGCCAGGCAGTCGCCTTTATCCCAATGAGCATGTTCCTCTCAGCACCTCGTCTTTGGGTGTTCGTTTCTCTCGGGCACAGCGGCGCTGCTGAGCTCTTCCCCGCTGCAGAGGACAATCGTGCTGCTTTTCTCCTTCCTTCTCTTCGGCCAGTGCAAACCCGAAGGAACCTCTTCTTCCCTCAAGCCTCTTGTTGCTCCTTCTTGCTACAGCCAGGTGTGTCGTAAAATCATTTTCTTAAACCGGCTGAACTCCATCTTACAATTTCTTAGGGATTTCTTTTTTTTTTTCCAAATCCCCCTTTTCGGATTCTCTCTCAGAATCGCACTGTTGTAAGGGTTAGGTACTTTTCTCCGGATTCCAAAGTGAATGTGTTCCCAGGCAGCTGATATTCATTCTGTCTTAATTTGAAGAAATCTGTACAGAAAGTGTACAGATGTTTTTTCTCAATATTTTTTTTCCCAGTGGGTGGTTACGCTCACTGTGGGAAAAGTGCATCTCATTTCTAGTTTGAACGCACCTACTTTTTTTTTTTTTTTGTTATCTTGTTTGGCTTTTTATGATGAACTAGCAAGCCTTTTCGTCAAAGGGCTGATTTTGGCCTCTTTATTCAAGTCCAGTTGGTTCCTACACTTAACACCAAATCTAGTAAACCAAAGTTTTTTTCTTAAGCGTCTGCACAGAACAGTTTCTGTGCTCCATGAAGAGTGAGTAAGAATTTTCTATTTACCTGTTAAAATCCATGTGAATGTTATTCAAATACAAATACAATATGCACAGTGGTGGAACGTAATAAAATCTTCAATTATCAAGGTTAAAATTAGCAGATGTTACATGACCAACAACTTTGCAATCCTAAATAAGTCTGAAGGGCTAGTAATATGTTCACTAGAGTTCTCCATGGCACTGTAGGATATTTCTTACAGTGCTTGTTTACTGGGGGATTATATTAACCATTGATGCATACACTGGACTGCTGAGATTATCAGTCCTTTTGACCTATAATAGCTTTAGCAGCTTTAAAGTTATAACTTTGGAAATGGAGGCTCTGTGTATGTATGTGGGGTTTCTTTTGTTGTTTTTAGGATTAAAAACTAAAACCGGATATAATTCTCAAAATGGGTACTGTCTTCTGTTCTTTATCAAAACTAACATAAATATCGTAGGTTCTAAAACTATGAAATATGATTGTTTTTTCTTGGTCACATAACATACCAGCTGATGATAATGAAAGGTGAAAAAAAGCTCTACAGTTTTCAGACCTCATACTATTTACATTAAAACAGAGTGAAAATTAAATCCTGTAGCACAGCAGGAGCATCATGTTACAAAATTTTTGCTTGGACAAAATGTTGTTTGTGATCAAGACTTCTTATGATGAGATCAAACAAACCTTTCAGTTCGATGTGGCATTTTTATTTCCTGCCTGGAGAAGAGGGGAGGGAGAAAGAGAAGTAAAGGAAAAGTAAGACAAGAATTTTTCAGTATATGTAAACAAATCAGTCATACAAAGCACGTGTATCAAACGCTTCTTGTCCTGCTCTCTTAGCTTGAAAATCAGGACAAAAAGTTGAATCACTGGGGTCAGAGAAGAGCAAAGACAAGAGAAGCCGAATACGTTGTCTGCAAATATGTCTCCAAATATAGAACGGTTTAATTGCCTTTCCTTGTTAGGCCCGTTTTCTAAGATTTAAAAATAGCTGCATGCACTCCTTAATCAAGATTTGCAAACTGTGGCGTGCCTGTGGCCTGTGCTGAATGTGCTGCAGGTTTGTGCACTGCTGGTGGGCACAGCAGGCCACGTTTTCGAAGCTGCCTGCATGCCTTTAGGACAGCTTGTAGACAGCCATTCTTTTTGATATATTAAATGAATGTCAGTTGTGATGGTGATGAAACGTAATGTTGGGCCACAGCTTTTGCCTTGAGGCAGCCATCTTCAGTAAAAACCAAAAGGGTGGGATTGATCTCACCCACTGTTAGATATATAGATGCCTGTAACTGAGTCACTTGGCTAGCCTCTCTGGTAGTGCAGAAAAATGGGTTCATCTGGACTGCAGTTTGCCTGCTCTATTTTAAGCCTCTTTCCATTTACAGTACAGTAAACAAAGTGCCTATTTCTCTCCATTAATTGTAGAAGAAAGCTAGACAGCAAGTTCAATCAGATGCAGAATTTTGTATTTAGGAGCCTGAAGTTGGGCAATCCCCCACGCCGGCTGCGGTGGAGCCCCTTTTCTGCTTGCTCTGTTCATTAGAGTGCGCGTGGCGGTGTCCAGTGAAGATCTAGAAGAGGTCCTCTGGTTTTGGGGGAGCTGTGGGAGCGCAGCTGCTGTAGTGCTGGGTAAATCTGCACCTCCGCTCTCGCCCCAAATTCTCCCGCCCTGGGGCATTGCTTGGGCCACTCTTCAGGGCAGCTCTGGGGGCCCACACTTAGTATAAGGGAAATCATCACAATACTTACCTTATATTATTAAAATACTGCAAATTGATATTTACCAAACGGTCAGCTTTAGGCCCTGCTGCTCTTAACAGCTTGTGGAAGGACCTCCCCTCCGCTCTGCTGTGGGGAAAGAGGGATTTCAGGGGGAAAACTGCCTAATACTAGCATTTTCAAGTGATGGTAGTTGGTCTGAAAGAATTTTGTCTGCCTCTTTAAATTACTGCATTCACAGATGTTGTTATTTTTCAGTGTTCTTCCTATTTATATTGTCTTTTCCTTGTGCACTGCAGGCTAATAGTAAGTGCCCCAGTTATTGCATTTTGCTTGATTAAAGTAAATGCAAAAAAAACCCAAACCTCACCCTCAAAACAAACAAACTGTGCAGTTCAAGGAATGCTTTAATAATCTGGTAAAATATTCTCAAGAAGAGAAAAAGTAATTTCTGTGAAATGAACTCTATTCCTAGGTGGTCAGCAGCTCATCAGACTCTGAACTGCTTCTTCTCAAAGAGCAGGTCCTGAAACTCATCTCCAGGCGTTTCTAACATCAAGGCAAACAGAGCTGAAAGAAACTGCTATAGGCATTTCTTCTTCCTATGCTTGGGACAACTCAAGGTCATATAAAACTTCTTTTTCACCTTAAATATTCTGCTCATTTCCTCTTTCCTGGCTATCCAGCCGTATTTGAGGTTGTCTTCAATTGTACGATCGTGTTGAAAACTGCCTTGAATAAGCTGTTCAGCGTCTCTCTCTCTTCGCCTAGTCTCACTGGAAACACTCAGTTACTGGCTCCCTCCTGTCACCCTGCAGCCTGAGGCCGCTAGCCTTGACCTGGCAAAGTTTGTCTTCATACCTGGATTTCTTTTCAGCTCTGCGGACGTACAATGATAGGGACACTCATATGCACAGACTGAGGAGGAGAAGACCAGTGTCCTGCTCACGTGAGTGTTAGATAGCAAGGAATTTTGTGGGACTGTAAAGTCTTATGTCTTTTCTCTCTCTCAGCTTGAAAGGTTCTAATATTTCTTGTTCTCTGTTGTTTGTTACTATTTATAATCTCTAGCTGGCTGGGTCACCCTCACTGCCTTTCTCCTGCTAGTTTAGGAGAATGTTATTGTCTTCATTTTGTCTAAAGTTACCCTACCGTACTCTGTCTTCTCTGCTTCCTCTCACTATTCCTCCCTGGTTCATTGTTCTTCGTGATATTCCTAAAATGAACGTACTGATTTCTTGTCTCTCTTCCTCTCGTTTGTTTATTAAGATGATAAATGTCTTAAGGTCAGGTTTATCCTTTATTATATATAGTGGATCTCTCTGTGATGTTACAAGAAAATTGCTACCCCAAATTTAAGAGCTGAATCACAAGTACAGTGACGCTGGAAGAGCCACCAATATCTTTATTTTCTCTCTCTCTCTCTCTCTCTCTCTCTCTCTCTCTATATATATATATATAAAATTATTCATTTTCCAGATTGATTGTAAGGGGGGATTCTTTTTTTTTGTAATGGTGGTTTATATTTACATCTCTGAAGCTAACTCCTACTAAATATCTGCCAGACAACCCGATTTTGACAAGATGGTGCCATAATTAAAAAAATAAAAACATTTATTTCTCTAATTCTTTTTGGCCCATAAATTAGATGCATGTAAAACACAGATGTTTCTGGTTATAGATATATTACTTCTTGTCTACTTCAAACTTCAAAGTTCAGTGATCCAAAGCTAAAAGTCACCTGCAGCTCCTGAGCTGCTGTTGCTGCTTTGGATTTGAGAGCTATAACCATATGAAACCAAACTTTTGTTTTCCTATCTGGAACCCTAAACCAGCCTAGGTTTGTTTGATCTGGTAAACTGTGAAAAGTTTGGGTTTAAAAGAGAGCATTTTCTCTGGTAGTTTGGCACTTCTGCTTCTTAAGAGCCAGGTCTTAGCTGATGTGAACTTGCATATCTCTCCTGGCTGGGGAACCTTCTGCTTCACAGGTTGATGCCCTTGCTCCTATGTATTAACCTCGTCCTAAAATCGGAGCTCAGAGTCTCACGTCTGCCTGCTTGCGCACAGATGTCCTAGTCCTCCTTTTCTGGAGGAGGACAGGCAAGGTGAGTCCCTCGCGCGTGGAGGAAGGGAAACGGGGGGAGCACAGGCAGCGTGAAGTCCACATGAATCTGCGGGTATGGGGAGAAAAGGAGGAGATGAAAAAGAAAACAGGGTGAAGGGCATGAACCCACAAAAAGCCCTGGGGAAAGGAGGAAAGGGAGGGATGCTGGGCCGAGCACCTTCCAGTGATCTGGTAGAGCCTGCTCCCTGCGGACTTCCTCAGAAACCTCGTGAGGTCGGGACTCGAAAGCCTCTGGCTGGAGGCCGGATGCGGAGGAGACCGGCCTGTGCCTGAATCGCGGTGTTTATGGTGCTGTGACTTCAGCGAGCTACAGCACCGTTTAAGGATGTGACTAAATAGTCAAAACACAAGATAAGAGCCCACGGCCTCCGCCGGTGTTAGTGGCAGCAGAGCTTTACCCGAGGCGCCGTGCTCCGGGTGGAAAGGTAAACGTGGATGTAGGCTCGTATCCTGCATGCAAGTAAATCAAGTTAGATAAGACAGAGGAAAGTAAATATAAGTAATATTACAGGCCAGGATGCCAGCTGATTTTTGCGATGCATCAGGCCCCTTCTCGCCGCATGTCCTGCTGA